TATAGCGTCATGATTTTATAGCTATTGTTTTGTAGTCAGGAGTTAAGTTGGTAAAGAGTGACGGGTAAGGCAAAAGTTAACTGTCGTTATTCTACAAATTTTTAGGATTGGTTTTGGGTCCGCTGAATGGTATCTCAACCCAAGTTTATTAATGAAGGCAGTTGTGTCTAACTGTTCTTTATTATTAAGAACTTTACCCCATGGTACGAGGTCCGTTTAAATTTCAGATCCACTAGATAGTATCCAATTACGTGAGACAATAATACAGCGTTCGCTATGGCTCCTCGGCTGGAGCAAGAAAAAAATTATCCATCGATTTGTGTTGGTTGTGCCAATCAGAGAATTAATAGGAATACAAGCGGCCTTAATTTTTAGTGTTGATTTTGAAAAGCAGCTAAATGATGCTGTCGAGAGTATACAAGAAATATAGACTTTCTTAATACTTTTATTTTTATATAACCTCGCACAGTGACCCATTTTTCCACACGAAAGACAATTATCAACTTTTGCTGAGGGAGGAAACATGAAAAAAAAAAAAAAAAAAACACGTCCGTGTAGCCGCGTCAAAGGTTATTGGTTGCTTGAGAGAATCCTGGATATAAGAACAGATTTTATTTTCTGTCATTGCAGTAGCAGAACCTTGTGGTATTCTTCATTACGTTGGGCCATTACGTCTAAGATCCTTGATTGGTCGTAGGATTCCGAGAGTAAGTTTTAGATGCCGTGTATTTGCTGGCAGTAAGTCATTAATGAACGCAACCCTTGCTAGATCTGTGCAGTAGTGTTCTGCAGCAATCCCTGTTGAGTCTGTGTAGGTCGCGGAGAAATTCGTCTGTTGTCTACGAAGGCTGTTGACGCCTCGTTCCGAGTAGACGACGGGCGACCATTTCGGACTGGAGGAGATTAAAAGTACATGGGTAGAAAAAACTACGACTTCTGACATTTCATCTTAACATCAAGAAACGGATTAGGGAACTAGAAAGGATTATTATGGAAACAAACAGACGTAATATCTTTTTAAAGCATTTCACCCCAAGCAAAGCAGGGCGTTACATAGAGTGAAAGTGTGTGAAAAGATTGTGTATAGAGGGGGTTGAGGAAAGAATAAAAGATGAACGGGGATCAAGGCAACAGACGATGGCGATTGACGTTGCATTTACATTTTTGAAGATTATAATTATCAGGGAAGCAAGTAAGAGGAAGGGAGTTTCACAGACGGGAAGCGCGAGAAAAGAAACTAGTGGAGTAGAAGTGGTGGTTGCATTTAAGTATTTCAACAGTAAAAGGTGCCAATCTAGTAACACACTTAAATTTATGTGGTCAGGGCATCAGTGAAGATAGCTCATGAGAACAATTGCCATGAAAATATTTGTAGAAAAGACAGAAGGAAGCCACATTACGTCTGTGAGAAATTGACTGGAGTCGAGATATCAAGTCAGGATCTTTGCAGATCTTTCTTTGGATTTTGCCGAGAACTTCGAGATGAACGGCAGGGACACCAGACCAAATATGGCAGCAGTATTCGATGCATGGTACATTTGTAGATATGCAAGATCAATATGTCTATATTATTCAATGAAACACACACACACACACACACACACACACACACACACACACACACACATATATATATATATATAACGGAAACGGAAATGAAACGCGTCACAAAATCTTTTCCAGTTTATAATAGTATTTTTCAAAATACTGTTTGCTGATATATAAAATTATACAAAAATTATATATCATTCTATCACATAGATATGTAACTTTAAAAATCAGATCAGTTGATGGTTTCAACGTTACGGTATCCGGAAGAAGAAGTGGGAAGAGAAGAAAAGCAAGGGTATTAGAAATGTATCGGTGAGTGGTTAATTGAAATGTATTTTTTTTTCATTCAGCCTTGTATATGTTTAAGATTTTCTCTTAAGCACATATCAGGCTGGATAAAAAAAAAATGTACATTTCAATTACTCACCCACCGATACATTTATAATACCATTGCTTGCTTGCTTCTTCTTCTTCTTCTTTTTCTTCTTCTTCTTCTTCTTCACATCCTCCTCCTCCCTTTCTATTACACTCAACGTCGTGCGTTTGTTTATTTAAAAAAAAATAATATAGCGTTCATTAGTTTTTGTGTTTGTAGGATGCATAATAGTATCCGAAACAAAAGTGATGATGAGACAAAGTGGGGGGCCTTCTCCAGCTGAACGCGTCTTTGATTCCACTTTGTCTTATTATCTTCATATATATATATATATATATATATATATATATATATATATATATATATATATATATATATATATATAACGACTTGTAGGCGCGCCATAAAAATATTCATCACTGGGAACCAACTAAAGGATGACCGCCAACATTAGCCTTGAAATAGATACCCTACCCAACCTTAGCAAAACCTCTCAGAAGATGATGAATCTATAGATAAGAATTAACTCTCTGACCACTTAACGAAGAAAACTAGTCTAGCTACTCCCACAATAACGAATGTTATAACGGATCATGCCTAAAAACACACATAAACCAAAAGATAGCTTATTCCTAAAATTTCGCTTGAAGATGAAACGAGACTAAACACCTCAATTCAACTTCATTTTAATAATTATTTGTATGGTTTCGGCTATCGTTTTTGAAACATGAGAACTCTTATGTAGCTAAACATAAAAATATTATATATATATATATATATAAAAATATTATATATATATATATATATATATATATATATATATATATATATATATATATATATATATATATATATATATATATATATATATATATATATATATATATTTATATATATATATATATATATATATATATATATATATATATATATATATATATATATATATATATATATATATATATATATATATATATATATATATATATATATATATATATATATATATATATATATATATATATATATATATATATATATATATATATATATATATATATATATATATATATATATATATATATATATATATATATATATATATATATATATATATATATATATATATATATATATATAGAGAGAAGTATATGAAAACAAAGTGGATAATCGCGTTTGTTGCAAAACTGCCAGGGTTATTATATTTTTTTGCATCCCGTCCCCATTTGTATACTTACATAATCACTCCGAGTAACTGGATGGGTCTGGATGCATAGCAGAAACCAGTGAATCTTTTTCTTGCTTGGAGAAAAAAATAATATCTGATATAATGGACTATTACTTTGCCGAATTTATGTGGAATAAATCAAAGATACAAAACTGAAAATGTTATCAGTTCTTGACATCAAATCTCCACGGATTTATACCCCGATTAATATTAATAGTTCTAGAATTTGTATTAAATCGAAAACACCTTTGATGTTGATTTTCTTTATTGAAAGTATAATGGTTTCCAGACACTGAATTTAAAAGTCATAATACTTGTTTTAATGCAAACGGAAGTACGTTTGGGTGTGAAGAGCGTAGTTGACAGAAAACCAGGAAGCACAAAAATAAAATCAAGAAGGATAAAAAAAAAAAGACTTGTGAGCATTTGTGCAGCCAACTCTTTACTGAACAATGTTCTTGATTAAAACTGATCATTAATTTTCTTTAATATAATATGGCGCTGTCTGAAAAGTTTCTAAGCTCTTTTTAGAGTAAATTGTAGACAGATATATGACTAATAGTGAGTACGTTACGATGACATATATTGAAGCATTTTTTCTAACTTATAAATTTCAGTTAATGTCTAACGTTATCCTAGAAAATTTCCCCACTAGAACTACTGCAATCATTTCTAAACGAAACATAACATATATTGCTTGTTTTGATGATTTGATTATTTAATTAATTTATCAAGCTAAGAAAAACTTTCAAGGCTAAATTTAGACAGTAATTTATTGATTTTTAGTGAATATTTCAATCACCAAAATTGATTCATTAACTTAATTAGACTAACGAATATTTTTCATGCACTCTGTCAATTATTATTAGTATGAAGCCTTGGTTTGTGAAGAGTGATTTTTTTGTGAAATGGGGATAGGGGTAGCCGGCGACATTTTTTTTTTTTGTTCTCGTCTGTAGTTGAATAAACTCGAACTTTTTTCTCTATTATAATGAATTTTTCAGTGTTAGATTTTTAGTTTTTTTTTTAATTGGATATTTGCGGCGTTTAGCTTTTGCAGACGTCGAGAGGAATTTTCTAAAAAAAAACAAAAAAAAACAAAACAAAAAAAAACGGGATGATAAAACGTTCACGACTTGAAAACATTCTTCAAAATGATTTTCTAAAAAGAAGAAATCTAAAAGGAAGAAATAAGAAATACCGGCTGGAATTTTCATGGTGAGTTATATACATTACTTTATTTTATCATAAACTCTCTCGTAATTGAGCGGGAAATGATGAGAGGCATACCCCCCCTCAAAAAAAAAAAAAAAAAAAAACGAAAAGAGAAACCAAAAGACAAGACTAAATTACTCTCTTCATCTTTGAAACTAAAGCCTTTAGTAGAATAACCGGGTGAGTTCCCGTTAGAAACGAAGAAAAGAGTACTAAACTGTTATGCACCATCAGTCCTCCTATGTGGAAGTGAATACTGGACAATCTCTTTACAGGTGAAGAAAAGACTCGAGACAACAGAAATGTGGTTCTACAGAAGGATGCTGAAAATACTGCACATGTGAGCAATAACGAAGTTTTATGATTGATCAATTCATTTTCTACGGCTTATCAACCCTTTGTAAGTTATTTAAAGCCAGAAAATATTTTTAGATTGTAAGACTATGTTTTTGGTTTAGTGATACAAAGCTTACTAATTAACCCATAGCTGGGAGGAGAAGATGTGGATTCATACATTTCCCAAGTTTATTTCCATGTAAGGGTCTATAACCAACGCAACTGGAATTGGAACTAGGTCATCCGATTAACAATTCCGATTCATTATCCACCACCCACACATGCAACCTTAGGGCATCTAGTATTCCCAAGCGTTCACCCATCTAGGTACTGATCGGGCCCAACGTTGCTTAAGTTTGCTAATCGTACGGGAACAGGTGTTTCAACGTCATGTGGCCGTAAGCCACGAAGTTTTAGAAAAAATGGCTGCAAAAAGACACTTATACTTAACACCAGGAAAACGCAGTTTAAATTTCTAGGGCATATAATGAAAAATATTTTATATTCACATGACGGATTGAAACCCGTGATCGCCCATAACCCGAAGGGACACAGCATATAGAAGAAGAAGAAGAAGAAGAAGAAGAAGAAGAAGAAGAAGAAGAAGAAGAAGTTTGTGGCTGGCAGAACAGGGATTAGGAGACATAGCGAAAAGACAAAATTTACTAAGAGTTAAAGAGGACAGAAAATTGTGCAGAGCCATGGTCACCCACGTTCTGAAGAGGAAAAAGCAGAAAAAAAAAGATTAACTCCATTCATCTTATTTGCTAGATTTAACAAATGAAATTTTTATCCAATCATATTACTTAAAAACTACTTCTGTTTCTTCAACATTTCGGAATCATGATAAAAATGTCGTTTCAACCCAGAGTGAGTTTTCTCCTTGTGGAAGCAGCTTCTTTCAGCTGTTCCAAAGATAGCAAAAAAAAAAATAAATAAAAAAAAATAATAATATTAATACATAAATTAATAAATAAGCACATATCACTTGAAATAATTGAAGCTATAAAATTTTTATTTTTGTTAATATACGAATATTTTTTTTATTTTACAGAAGAAAAGAATAAGTGAAACGTTAAAATAACTAAATACTTTTGAGTTTTTTCTCTCCATTGAGACGAAAGAAAATTCAATTCGGTTTTTCTAAAGATCTTACTTTTAAAACCAAGGCGCCAAATGTCTGCCAAAAAGTTTCTCTTATAAATATTATCCTACAAGGAACGTTATTTAAAACTAATACACACATCTTCACACCTTAACACTCATATTATGATCCTTTTTTTTAACATCTCCTATGTATCGTATCCCTTCAGGACGTGGGCGGTCATGGCTCTTTACATCTTTGTATCTCTCTGTAGCTCTAAGAAATATTTGTTCCTGTTCTGCTGTTCATTTACATAAACTCATTAGGTAGGTTACTAGATGTTTTCATCCGCTCCACTTTCCTTCAATGTGATCCGTGAGTATCAAATTCTCCAAGCCCTCTTTCCTCATTGTGCACTAGAAATATCAAATCTCTTCCTGATTCTAAGTGTAAGTTTCCTTATTGTTTTCATTTTCTTCAAAATTTCCTCATTTCTCACAGGTTTTCTTCATGGTATTCTTTTCGTATTACTATAGATTAAGCCTCCCAGATCACGAATATAATAAACAAATATATATATATATATATATATATATATATATATATATATATATATATATATATATATATATATATACTAGTAAAAATCTTATAAATATAAGAAATTATACTCGTTCGGAAAACTTTTGGTGTCTTGATTTGCAAATGATCAAACGGGAAAAAAGGTACAAAAAAAAAGAAGTACGTCAGCCGAAAATAATCGTCTAGCATCAAGTTCAGAGTCCAAAGAAAAAATACCGATATGAGTAAGTAAAATAACTAAATAAAGTGCTCAATACGCTAAGTAGAGCAAACCTAATTAAACAAAGAGCAGATAAACCTACCAAGGTTTCACCTACGCGGGTTGTCAGGAAGGTCGGCCTTCTCTGACGATCCGCGTTGGTGAAACCTTGTAGGTTTAATTATATATATATATATATATATATATATATATATATATATATATATATATATATATATATATATTTATACACGTTTCATTAAATAATATAGACAAGTGTTGTCTATTTATTTTATGTAAAATTTTTTCGTATCTTCTGATAAGTTTGATAACATTATCATTAACCGAAAAAAAGAAATTCACAATATTTATCCATTATTTTTTAATATAATCTAAGCTTTCGGCTTACTCAAGCCATTATCAAAGATGTAATTACAAACATATCAAACAATATACGGACACGACAGTGATGATAGTCTGTCATTGTTTAGTTTACATAGTGGATCACTAAGCAACGATGAACACGCGCATATAAGACGCTAGAAGCGAAAATCGCACCGCATCTCATGACGTCACACATGACTACACGAGAGTGAATTGGAGGGCGGGGGGAAGAATCATTGCGAAGTATTAAGTTGGATATACTAGATTTAGTGTAGTATATGATTAATTTAATTTTTTTGCTAGGATCTGTAGTTGATATATTAGAATTTACTAAATTTTTTAGTATGTGTTCATCTTGTTTATAATTAGTATGCATTTGATTACGATATAGGAGATTAATATATTTGAGATCAGTAGAAGCAGTATTATGTACAATTTGCTTATTATTGAGATTTCTAAGAAAGCATCTTATTTGTTCATCAACTATATAGTTTGGAAAGCTATTATTAATAAGTGTCTGTTTTATATTCTTTAGTTCACTGTAAAAAATCTGTTTTGTGGATGAATTAGTTTCTGCACGATGTATTAGATTCTTTATAATTGCTATTTTGTAGTAATATGGGCATTCGCTCTTGTAGTTAAGTGTACATGAATTTATGCTTGTAGGTTTTTTGTATGGCGAAATAGTAAATTTGTTATTATTTGTGTTTATCAATATGTCAAGGAAGGGATTTTTATTATTAGTATTGAGTTCATATGTGAATTTAAGGACAGAATTATTTTGGAACCGTTTTTGAAGTTGAATTATTTCATCTGTATTTTTAACTAACATAAGAATATCATCAACGTATCTTAGGTAGATTGATGGTTTTTTAAAATCTGTAAATAACTTATTTTCGAGGTTCGACATGTAGAAATTGCTAAATGTCGGGCCCAATACTGAACCCATGGCGACACCATCACGTTGTATATATATATTGTTATTATGATCGAAGAAAGGGACTTCAGTAGTACAAGTTAATAGTAGTTTTCTTAATATATTAGGATTAATTTTAAGTGAGGGTAAAGATGAGTTACTGTATATATTTCTTATGATTATGTCAATAGTTTCACTAACAGGGACATTGGTAAATAAGTTTTCAACATCAAGTGAAGCCATGATTTCATTGTCAGGTTTTTCACTTTTTAGGATTTGGATTACTTCTAATGTTGACTTAACACTATATTTACTAGGAAGATAGGGAGTAATAAGTTGGTTGATGTATTTTGTTAGATGATATACAGGAGTTGGAATTTGCAATATGATAGGACGGAGAGGATAGTTAGGTTTATGTGTTTTTATAGTGCCATATATGTAGCCAGGTCTATAATCACCAACAATTTTAGGGAGTTTTAAAGAGTTTTGTTCAGCATTATTAGCATTAATAAGTTTATTAAGCTTTGATTTTAGTTGGTTGGTCGGGTTCTTGTTAAGTTTTTTAAACTTTATGTGGAGTATGTGGTCTAGTTTTTTGTTGTAATCCAATTTGTTTAGGATGACAAAAATGTTGGTCTTATCAGCTTTTTTTACAATAATGTCAGGGTGGTTACGTAGTTCTTGTGCGGCAATTTTCAGTTGTTTAGAAAGAATTTTTGAGGAGTTTCTGCTTTTATCATGTCGATCTTAAGTAAGTCTTTAAATTCTGGTGTAGTTTCTATTAGTTGTTCATCCTGGAGTTTAACAATGTTTTGGTATAGGGTCTCAATTTCTATTTTTTTAAAAAGTCGATTGTACTTACGGTATATATGGCAGTTAGGTCCAAGGTTAAGTAATTCTTTTTTTTTGCTTAGTTAGTTCATAGTTGGAAAGGTTAATGTATTTATCAGTTTTGTTAGGAAGAGTGATATTTCCTTTGTATTATGTATTCAGTTTTTTTATAATTTTAATTCGGTGTTGAGCTTCAGATTTATTGGTAATTTCCGTGAGTCTATGTGTAATTTCCTCCAGTTGGTCCGGGGTAGTTATATCCTGTAGTTCATCGTAAATGTCCTGTTTTTTGCTGTTAAAGTTGTTTAATTTTTCTTTGGATATTTCGATTTGCCTTTTCACAAGGCTACATTTGTAATTCCAAGTATTTATAGTATTGTGGGCTGCTGGATCATGTAATTTAAATTGTGTGTATTTAGGCAGCATATTTTCATTTATACACGTTTCATTAAATAATATAGACAAGTGTTGTCTATTTATTTTATGTAAAATTTTTTCGTATCTTCTGATAAGTTTGATAACATTATCATTAACCGAAAAAAGAAATTCACAATATTTATCCATTATTTTTTTAATATAATCTAAGCTTTCGGCTTACTCAAGCCATTATCAAAGATGTAATTACAAACATATCAAACAATATACGGACACGACAGTGATGATAGTCTGTCATTGTTTAGTTTACATAGTGGATCATACATATATACACATATATATATATATATACATATATATATATATATATATATATATATATATATAAATTGTATAAAAAAATTCATAGGGGTTCAGTTTGCTATGTAAATTACTTGCAAATTGACACCCCTAGGCAAGTTAATGCAAAATAGTTTCATAGCACATGATTTTCTTTTTGAAATATCGTAATCTATAGTGCTTAATCGATAGTAATATATGAAAAAGGGACTACTGATTATATTTTATAATTTTTATTTTTTTCTTAATTTTAAGTAAATCTCCAGAAATATATATTAAAAAAAGCAGAAATAAAGAAAGAAATCTCCGGAAATATGAAAAAAATAATTTGAATAAATTACTTTTTTTTGGTCACAATGCCTATAGTAGAACTTCACTGAAATTCTTAATTTTGAATCATAAATTCCTAATTCCAAAATATCCATATAATCTAAGGTTCATGCAATTTTTTAGAATCAACCTGAATTTTTATAAAATAACATAGTTAATATTATTTAATTTCAGTTTCCCCATATATATATATATATATATATATATATATATATATATATATAGTTGTATATTTAGGCAGCAATCCTTCCTTTATGCATGTTTCATTAAATACGACAGACAAGGTACTACGGTTAAGCTTTTTATTTAATTTTTCTTGTGTTCTGACAAGAGCTTTCTTTTCTGGACAAAGGGTGTGTAA